TTTTTTACTTATTAAATATCAAAATTTAATAAATATATATATTATTTGATGGGTAACGTTAATTCATCTTATTTATGTTCCGTGTACCCGCGTACTACGATTTTCGTTAAAGGTACACGCATWATTATAAAATTAGGAGGTGGGTACACGCCGTGTACCCCCGTGTACCCTCCACTACACCACTGGACTCCATAGTGATGGTATATTGTATTAAGCACTTACAAGATATATAACTTACTATGTATGTATATTTTAATTCTTGTATTTAATTAATATCATCATTAAATAAAATACCTTTGTGATATTGTGATACACCGATAACTGATAAATTTAATTTAAAAAAAAAACATTTTGATGCATCAAAGTGGATATTCAACCTATCCTACATAATATTAGGTATCTACTTTTGGTAGTTTGGTTTTGAAAATTGTTTATCTTATTGATTGTATTTATAATTATCTTGACTCAGATTGAGGATAACACTGTGTCACTGTTTCCGATGATAATCCCATAATGTCGACCACAAATAATAACTATATAGTTGACAAAATTCACATCCATGATCTATGAAGAATTAAAGTAATAGAATATTTGTAGATCTTGGTTCATCTTTTTCAGGCTTTTTTCAACCATGATAATCATACAATATAGGCATATTGCAACTTATTATTTAGTTGGTATCATACAGACAAGAGACTGTAAGTTTCACTGTCCATTGAATTTAATATTTTGTTTAAAATAATATATAATTTGTCATTGTTTTAGCGTTTATCAACCGTTGTTTCATAAATTTCTGTGCAATAATAGTTTCTCTCGTTTCATTGTGCTTATGTACATACCTGAGATTTCCAGACATGAATCTAAATAACAATGTTGTAGTAAGAAATAGCATTGTGGATTGAGGAGTTTTCGACAAGCAGATTCTACAGATTACTAAAGGTGTACGCATCCTTGTTACTGAAATTAAATTAAATAATGTGCGACAGTTACTATGTTTACAGTGTACAGGCATGTGGCATTCTCGTTTTATATGAACAGTATTGTTTGTTTGTCATACATCACATTGTCACATTGAAGCAACATAAAAATACAAATTGCAATGAAAGTATCAAAGTAAAATACATTTTGKAAATTATTTCATTGTGATACTAATTTCAGTTAATTATTTTTTAAGGGTTGAAAACTTGTTAATTAGAATTACACTTGCATTGAAAAAAGGAAAAACATACTTACTGTTCCAAATAAATCCCCAAACTATCAGTGAATCATAAGAGGTTACTAGATAGTAGAATAATGCTAATAATATAATAGAGTTGTTTTTATGTTAGATAAGTAGACAATATTCAAATCAATTTTTTTTTAAGATGTATTTTATGCATCTCATTATGTCTTTAWCATAATAATTCTACTGTGAATAGGGATAATTGAATCCAATAATAACATACTTACTTAAAATAATTATACTATAATTTGAAAAATAATACCATAAATTAAACATATCTTATATTTTTACATATATATTTATATATATATATATTTATTGTTATTTATGTTTTGAGAAAATAATTGTCCAAATCTAATGCATAGTCAATAAAATTAATAATTATGTATTCAAAATTGTTAACATTGAATATTTTGTTATTTTGTACAAAATTGAAAATTATAGTATTGTACACCATTCTAAACCCAAGTTATATCATTTAAATATTTAAATATTATACAGTTAATATTTTTAAATAGTTTTTTAAATATATTGTAAAACCGTTTTTGATCATATCTATAACATTTAAACATGTTTACACCTTCTCGTTTATTAATTATTATTTATTAATAACATTAAAAGTTGTTTTATTTTATAAAAATAAATCTGTGAATTAATAATCATAATTGTAAACTCATCATTTATTTTATTTTTAAAATAAAATTACAAAAATAAGTTATAGTACCTATTGAAATAATGACTATTACCTATTAAATAACAAAATAGTTGTTTTTATACCTATTTCAGTTTAAATTTCTATAAGTTAGTAATAAATTGTAATAAAATATCAACCATGCAGTTTTTGACTTATTCTCTCCATAATTGTTTATGACAAACTTTGTTTAATAATTAAAATACTTAATAGGTAAAGATGTATCAGGTATTCTCGTAATAGTATTTTATTTTTAGTGTTTATGTATATAGTGAATAGTGATAACGGTTTATCATAAATAAATAGTATACTATATATACTTACAAACATTTTAAATAGTACATAATATATTTCTGGTGTACAAATCAAATTTAGTGATCTTAAAAATGGAATACAAACACATAAATATAAAAATTAAATTACGTTTATTAATTACAAACATTTTAAATAGTACATAATATATTTCTGGTGTACAAATCAAATTTAGTGATCTTAAAT